GAGCCCTGATAATGACGGAAAGATTGAGAGATGGAACACACTTACCATATAGCACCTGATTTCACACAAAAATTCGTATGTATCACGCAGGGTCATCTCAAAATTCAAATGTGTGTTTTTTTATGTGTTGAATTGTAATTGTCACCACATTTGTGAATCCTTGAATCGAGACTTACTGAAAGTGTCAATTTCAGCCTCCACCGCTCTCTGAACTCGCTGACTCACCCATACCAGCCGAAGCTCCAGCACCACCACCTCCAGCAGCTCCTCAGGCGCCAGCCCCTGTTGCCCCTGCACCTGGTCCTTTTGCCGCTCCACCGGCCCCGTTTGCTCCTCCACAACCTCCTTCGCTCCTCCACAGGCTCCTCTTCGCTCCTCCACAGGCCCCATTTGCTCCTCCACAAGCTCCTTTCGCTCCTCCACAGGCCCCATTTGCTCCTCCACAAGCCCCATTCGCTCCTCCACAGGCTCCTTTTGCTCCTCTACAGGCTCCTGTCGTTCCTCCACAGGCTCCCCTTGCTGCTCCAGCACCCCCACTTGCTCCACCAGCACCAGGATTCCCACCTGCATCGTTATTTGCTGCGGCTCCACCCTTTCTCGCAGGCGGTGGAGGAGGAGGAGGTTTGTTTGAAAAAGAGAGTTAATGCTTGTTAATCGTTCATAATGTGTTAATAAAATAGGTGGCTGTTTCTCGACGGACACTTGGGTGACGACTCCTAATGGTAAGAGACGAATGGATGATCTGAAAGTTGGCGACTTCATTCTCACAGCCAATCAGACGACGGTTTGTGCTTCCAGATTTCAGATTCTACCTAATTTTTTTTAGTATTTCTAGCTCATGAAAAATCGGGAGTCATGTTCTATTTTTTCATGTTTCGTTTGAAGCTGGTGCCCTTCTTCACATGTCGCGTACCTCGGACCAGGGTCAACCGTCCGTTCGTAACTGTTCGAACGAGGGGGTCGCATTTTGGTCGGAAGGGGGTCGCAATTTCGAGCTGCGAGCTGCGGTTCATGGCAAGATGAAATAGACTTTTTTGGCGTTTTTCACGACCATAACTCACTCATTTTCATTTTGTTGATCGGCGCAACTTATATATATTGAGTGTAAAGTGAACAAGGATAAACTATCTTGTTTCATTTTTCTATAGCTGCCCCGCTGAATCGTTTCTGCCAGCATCCACTCTTATTCGAGATAAGAAAATCACACGTTCGAACATTTTTTCCCATGGGTTTTTGAGCAGCACATGCGAGTTTTTGAGCTTTCAGCAATGATAACTTCCTTCAAAGAGCTTGTTGGAGAGGGATAAAGACATTTGTGAAGACTACGAGATTTCCGCTTCCTTACATGTTTCACAGTACATTGGAAGAAGCGTCCCCAAAAAAATAGGTCTCCAAAGAACTTTGTTTTCAGCCCCGAGAAGTCAAACCTTTCATAGGGATGCATTCAACTGTTCTCTTATTCCTCAAGGAAAACACCGTAATTTGCCTAAAACTGTCTCTCTGTGCATAATAATCGAATCTAATGCGGTCTGCACAAACAATTCTTGCCCTCGGATACGCCACGCACGCGCCTGTGGCTGACAGTCCTCGAAATTGCGGCCCCCTTCGACCAAAATGCGACTCCCTCGTTCGAACAGTTCGAACGGACGGTTGACCCTGCTTCGGTGTCCTCTCGTCTTCGAGTGTCTTTTCT